TTGTTAGGTCTTTCCTAAATCCAAATTGCTCTTTGACTAATATGTTGTTAGAATTTAAGTGTTCAAGTAGTCTATTATACATAACTTTTTCAAAGACTTTTGAGAATGAAGTCAATATGGATATTGGTCTGTAATTAGAGATGCATTTTCTCTCTCCTTTTTTAAAAAGTGGTTTCATTACAGCATATTTTAAGCGTTGAGGAAAAGTACCTGATGATAAAGATTTATTACATAGATGATTCAAGGGTGAACTGATGTAAACAGAGCACTAGTAATCACACTAGTATCATCAGCAAAGAGGATAGGATAGGAAGTCCTATTTAATACTAGAGGCAAATCATTAATATAGATCAAGAATAACAGGGGACCCAAAATGGATCCATGGGGGACACCATGGGATGTTTTTATCTGAATTTTGTAATTTGTGTGTCTTTGACAAGTTTTATATTTAGCGCTGATAAGCACATTTATGAATACTATGAAACACAATTTTATATTATCTGTGTAATGGTTATTTCAGACTTCAAGACATATCTGTTATTTGTGACTGATGTGACAGCAAAATCTTGAGTTATAAACATTTTGGACAAATATGTAGGTTCTTGTCTCAAATTATAAGTTGTGTATTGATCTTTTTTAACTTTTCAGACAATAATATGAATGAAAGCAAAGACAATCTTACTTTGAACCATCAGGCAGGTGACTTTGAACCTGTTCATATAAAGCAGGAAGAGGGAAGCATACCATCATCAGCAATTGCAATAATGAAAAGGGAAGATAAGGTTAAGTTACTTTTTCTATTGCAGTAACGCTTTCTTCCGTTTCTTTCAAGATGCATGCACAGTTTGTTTAGTTGCCTTCCTGAATTGTGGCTTAGCTTAACAGTGTCAGTAGGACTACAGATTTGCTTAAGAGGGCGTTTGTGTAATTTCCATCAGCTCCTCTCTTCTGATATGTTTATTCACCATGCAGCAGGACAAGATTATCAAGGCAAAGTAGTCTCTTCTGTTTGGCCTGCCCTGACTTTATAGCCATGTGTACCAAGAAACAAGTTTTGAAAGTTTTTAATACCTATTCTGTTCTGATGGATTAATGATATTATCTGTAATTCTCTGTTTATCCATTTATAGAATAAACATTTCTAATTCTGTATGTTTAATTTTTATTTTATGTGATCTTCTGCACCACTTAATTCTTCTATTTTGCTGGCTTAAGACCACGGGGGTAGCGTAGTTGGTTGAGGCACTATGCTAAAAGCCGGAAGGTCGCGGGTTCAGTTCCCGATGTGGTCATTGGATTTTTTTCAATTGTCCTAATCCTTCCAGCCGCACTATGGCCCTGGGGTCGACTCAGCCTCTAACAGAAATTAGTACCAGGAATTAATTAAATAATTTCCTGGGGAGTAAAGCGCGGCCGGCGCGTAAGGCTGACAACCTTACCGACGTCTTTGAGCCGATTGTCTAGAAAATGTGGGACCCTCAATGTCTCACAACCCTATGGGCCTTCACGGCCTGTTACAGGGATAGCTTTACTTTACTTTTTAACATGACAGGTACTTCCATGTAGTTTAACTGGAGTTGCAGGACCTCATGAAAATGTGGAACCATTACTTTATAACCTTTAAATATTGTTCCTGTTCTTAGTTGTCAAATGACAGTAGTACTTTAAGTGCAGCAGCATTTCATTCTTTTCAAAATACCAGATTCCCATTATCCTTCCTATTTTATAAATTCATCATTGTAGTCTCTTGGCAAGGAAAACTGGGACATAAAATTGTCATGAGGTTGTAATCTTTCATCCCAATTTATCTTGATAAACCTGTCCCCCTCACTCATAAAAAACACATACACTCAAGATAAGCTTTGGACAGTGAGTACTTCTGGAAATAAAGAAGAGCATTTTTTTTTGTTTCAAGGATTATACTGTAAGGAATTTTTTTATTAGTTAGTGTACAATTAAATGTCTCTTTTATCAGCAGAGTTATAAAATATGTTTTAGAATTAATTGTAATATACTAATTGATTTTGTTTATATCAGGAAATGTGTGATGAAAATGGTGGATCTATTCAAGAAATTAAAAATGAAATAAAAACTGAGGAACAAGATGTGAATGTTGACTGGTGAGTGTTCTGTTTAATGGCGGCTTCATGTTAGTAGTGCTAGACATACAGTATATCAACCCAGATGCAGATCTTGGCATCTGGGTTGATATATTTGTGACATTACTGTACAGATGTTAGACAGTCAAATTATAAAATGTTTTGCTTCATTCTTTTTAAGTTATGTAATAATACATAATTTGTTTTTGAGTTGTGTTTGTGTCACATGATCAGAACCCTATTTCTTCCTCGTTAATTTCTTTTACTGTCCTATGTTCCTCACTTCTCTTGAGGATTCCTTTAAGGTTTTCCTAGTGAGATTTCCAGTTGCCTGGATTAAATTTATTTTCTGCACAAAAAGTGTCTTTGTTTTATAAACCAGAACTAGTTTGAAATAGACCTTATGTTTGCATTTGTATGCCGAATTTTACAGTTTGTTTCATGTTCAAAAATAAAATTTTGTACCTCAATTCTAAACTACTATGAGACCTTCAACTAATTTGATATGATCCTTACTAATTTCACTTCCTTTGTCAAGGCATTTATACAGAACAGTCCAAAAATTTATAATTAATACTTTATGTTTATTTTGAAGCTTGAAATGTAAAAACAGAATAGATGTCATAGATATATTCTAAAGAATGGTTTACAGCTTATCTTAAACTATCATAATATGGGAGTATCATGCCTTGGGACCTTGTCACGGTCATTTTCCCATTCATAGTGAATTGTCAGTTCTAGTTTCTTACACTGATAAATTAAAATCATGCTTGCTTATACTGCATCTTTTTGCCCTTACAAAGAATCTGCAGTAAACTTTATAGTTGTATCTGTGTCGCATTCTCCTGTCACATTGAACATACCAAATAGCAACTAAATGAAGTTCAGTGTATTTTACTGTAGTTTGGATGTTTATTAACAGTGTGGAGCAGTTCACTGGTGAAAAGGAGGACTGTGGTGATGGTCAAGAGAGTGCAAACCAAGATTATTTTGAAGGTGGTTTAAGCAATTTTCTTGACATATCCATATCCGAAGGTGTTAATAATATAAAACCGAAGGCCAAACCCTCTGAAGTAAGACGTTTTAAATGTAAAGTGTGCAGTAAACTGTTTACAAGAGATCAGCACTTGAAAAAACATATACGTACACACACGGGTGAAAAGCCATATAAATGTGAATCGTGTCAGAAATTATTTTCACAAAGGGAACATTTAGCAATACACACACGAAAGCACACTGGAGAGAAACCGTATGTATGCGAGGTTTGCAATAAAGGATTTTCTCGGAGTGAATATTTGGTAGTGCATATACGTACACACACTGAAGAAAAACCTTATAAATGTGAAGTCTGTGGTAAAATGTTTTCACAGAGTGTACATCTTTCGCATCACACGCGCATTCACACTGGGGAGAAACCGTATAGATGCCCAATGTGCAGCAAAGAATTCTCACGCGGTGGAGACCTTGTGCGACATAAAAGAACACATACGGGAGAAAAGCCTTATACATGTAATGTGTGTGGGAAAGTTTTCACTGAGAGTGGACATTTAGCAACACATTTGCGGATTCACACAGGAGAGAAGCCATTCAAATGTGAGATATGTACGAAAAGATTTGCAAGAAGAGCAGTTCTAGCTGATCATGTACGTACTCATACTGGAGAGAAACCATTCAAGTGCGAAATTTGCGAAAAATGTTTCTCTCAGACTGGAAATCTTGCAACACATCGACGATCTCACTTTAGAGAGAAGGCTAAAGATTAGTAAATCTGTGATCAGCAGATGATAATTTTGTTAGTATTTGTTATGTCTGAAGATTATTTCAATGTCATGCTTTTGTTAGATGAAATACTTTTAAAGTACATTCCACTGAAGAGATATAATTTGAATTTCATGGGTTTTACATGTTCTGTTGTTATTGTCAACGTGAAAGATATGATTACCAGACTAAACTGTAAGATTCACATTGAAAGGAGAAGTATGAAATGAAATCCAATAAAATTAACTGGCTATGTTTACTAACACAGACATAATAGTGACAATTGTACACTACGGAAGAAATACAGAACATGCAGCTATGTGACGCAAAGATGGTAAGTTAAATCAGTGGACTAGGTTACAGAAGGGTGACAGAGGGATGAGTTTGTTTCCTGGTGGGAGATAAGAAACCGTTCCTATACAGCATCAAAACTGACTCACCCACACCCAGTCTTGTGTAAAATGGGTCCTGGGGTTCTTTTTCCCTACAGATTGTGCAGGGTGGGCAGGGCATGATGCTGACCACTCATCTCCATCTAGTGCTGAGGTTACCTATGCATGGAGCTGTACTTATGCTCTGTTCACTTCATTGTATTGTGCTTAATCAAGCACAGACATAATTTTACTTTTACCTGACACAGTTAATAACAGAATAATTAACACAATTTCAAGAGATCTTAAAGGATTACCAACACATAATCATTAGAAGTAACAGTTTACATTTGAAATGAATTTGACTGAGCGTACTGAAATAGTGAATGATGAAAGGGTACAAAGGAGTGCATGAAATATAATCTAGAAGGTGAAATTCTAGACATTAAGAATTAGATAGTGTGTGATTGAATAGGCTTCTGTGAATTATTTAAAAAAACGAAGGAAAACTTAATGGCCTGTAGTCTGGAAGTGAACTTAGGGCTGTCAAATGTATCTGTGAAACATATGCAACCATTATGTTTAAATGCTTAACATTCCATTCTTGTTTCTGACAATTCACTGTTTATTCCCTTAAATATCAGATCTTTCTTGTAAGTTCATTTTACAGCCTAAATTATAAATATGTCCTGATGTTATTTCTTTATCTATTTTTTCGCTTAGTGGGGTTGGAGTCCAGCTGGGCCCACTAAGCATGGTGGCCACCGATTGGCCTATTGTACCTGCCCCGGGTGATTATGATGATGGACAGTTTGGTGGAATGAAGATTGGCAGGGGAAACCGAAGTACTCGGAGAAAACCCGCCCCAGCGCCACTTTGTCCACCACAAATCCCACTTGACCAGACCTGGGATTGACCCCGGGCCACTGGGGTGGGAAGCCAGCGACTAACCACTTGAGCTATGGTGTGGCCGCTTTACCTTTTCCATGATGTGAGGTTGCAAATTTATGCTGATGGTTACAATTGCATGAGCAGGCACAATGACAGTGGTTCACAAGTTTCTTGTCTGTTGAGAGGAAGTGCTTTTATATCTGTATGGGTTGTTCTGCTTGTGAGAAACTGAGCCTTGCAGGTGATTTTGAAAAGTGATTATGCATAATTGGCCAAGAGTTTGATGTTTCAGGTTGAGATTATGTGACAGCTTCTGAAATGATAAAGAAATATTAAAGAAAAATACTCTTATAACTTTGTAGTTTTGTATAATTAGTTCACAAATAATTTTAAAAATCTGGGAGATACTGTGTATCATTAAATGTGAAGTTAATGTATGGATATGATTGAAGGTATGATTGGAGGTGAATTATTTTTGGCACACTTGAAGATATTGAGCTCTAGAATCTGAACAGAACAATAGAAACTGTGTCCAGGACAGTTTATTCACGTCAAAGGTTCCATATAATTTTCAGAGCCTGTCTTAATTTAAGGCATTTTAATCTTATTCATTGAAGTTATTTCTTGTTTAATTTGTTGCTGCATTGTCTATTGTCTATGTGTATATCAGTTATTGAATGTAATTAGATATTTACTACAGACATTGCTGATTGATATGAATAGTGAACGTTTTACTTTCCATACAGTGACATTTAAGGCGGATGATTAAAAATAATGCATTAAGATTCTTGACTTCTTTCATAGATCAGATTGTATTTATGGTATTTTTATACTAATAAAAAACAAAAGTTATTTCTATTTGAACCTGCAGGATTCTGAAGTATTTTGTCACAGTACAAAATTATGTTTATTATTTAGTGTATTGCTGTTATATGCATATATTACAGAGTATAGAATGTGTGTTGATAAATATTCCCAAAAGGGAGTGCACTTACCTTGTCCTGTTTTGACTAATGAGGCTGATGAAAAAAATTATTTTACTGTCATATTAGTAAGTGTTGCAGTTCTTTCCTATGGCGCTGAATTATTTCCTGGAATTGTTTCAGATCTGCTGAGTATTTACTATAGGATTCTGACGATGGTGTATAACACACTGATATATTGGGTTTTTGGACTTTATCCAGGACGATGGATAAAGTCCAAAAACCCAATATATCAGTCTGCTGAGTATTTACACATTCATTTTCTATGCCCCCAAAACATACATTTCAGCTGAAATTCTTTAATGATGTTACTTTATCATATTCCTTTAGAAGTCATGTATGTGTGTTTCATTGAAAGCAAGTACGACGAATGAATGTTCAGTATTTGATCTCCTGACTCGAAACAAATGAAAACATCGCCCCAGAGGTCGGAACGGTAAGTATGAAGTTCAGCTTCACTGCAGTTTTAAATACTCGAAGTTTCGATTATATTTGTAGCACACAAGTGCGCCCTTACTGTCCTGGTCGAGCAATTATACAATGGTGTCCACTTCGCCATGTACCCGAGGATATACAGAATGACCTTGAAGATAGCGCTGGCCGTAAGATGAAACGGATCTCCTACTGCCAGGATTCAATATAGTAAACCTGGTAGAAGGAAAGTGTTAGAAGTGCGGAATGAGACAAAGGATTGCTATAAATAATGCAAGGCGCATAAACACACAATGATATGAAATGTGGAAGATCAGTGTTCTGAATACGATATTTCACGAGGCAGGTTTTCGTCACCATTACGCTCTCGAAATGCCGAAAATAATGAAATTGTAGGGTACGGATTTGTTAGAATTAACATTTCTACAATGTCTCTGCATAGAATCGGCCAATGAAATTATTCGTTCATCATGCACACATTTTCTAGACAGTCGGCTCATAGATGGCGGCAAGGTTGTCAGCCCTACGCGCCGGCCGCCCGTTACCCTCAAGGATATTCCAAGTACTCATTTCTGTTAGAGGCTGAGTGGACCCCAGGGCCATAGTGTGGCCATTGTCTCGTGTTAATGTAACATTTCGAATCGGATAAGATAACTCCCATGTGTCGTGAATAAAATGTTGACATTTGTGACAGCAAGTCGTAAATTGAAAGAAAAAACCCCGATATATTACAAGACCTGCCTCAAATATAAAACATTAAATGGATAATTAATCAGTCAACATCTTGTAAAAAGTTTTGTGTTGAAAGAATGATACTGTTGATATCTTTCTGAGTCATGCCATGTATTTCCCTCTCACATATAAAGTAAACACTTCATTTGCCATAATGCTCATTAAATTATTTCCCAGCATTTTATGGAACCCGAAGGTTCATTACCATGTTCATAAGAGCCCTCCACTGGTCCCTATCCTGAGCTAGATTATCCAATCCATACCATCCCATCCTATCTCTCTAAGATCCATTCTAATATTGTTCATCCATCTACGCCTTGGTCTTCTGTGTGGTCTCTTTCCTTCTGGCTTTGGTAACCTCCCTTACTTAAACAACTGTAATAAAAACGACAGAAACGCAGACAGATTTGTATAAAATATATGGGTAGGTTGACTGATGACATGATACCTGAATAGATTCCGCAGTAGAACTGAAAATCTAAACTACTGTAAGTCCGAGGAAGACCTCCGAAACGAAGGAACGGGAGTGTGAAATAAGAACGATCTTGATTACCTATCTCATAAAGTTAAGAAGAAGAAGAATAAAGAGGAGAGTGCCTGCTGTGAATTTAACATGTTACACATCCTTTAGACCCCAAGGAACCATGAACTACAATCGAAGAATGATACATAATACTCACACATTCCAAGTGCGTTGTACTCTACTTTAACCCCTCAATGGTTTCTTCGTATGTGGTTTATTTCATGATTACATAGCCATCTCAAGACTACATCATCAAATGTTTGGTAAAAAAATGAATAAATTGGAAAGAATTTATAAGAAATGGTACTAGATGGGGGGGTGAGTGGTTAGTTTCACGCCTCGGCCGCTTTACCGCCTGAGAAAGAACCGTAGGAACCGCTTGGATAGGGGGCTGGATGGCCCCCAGAGCCGGTCTCGGCGTTGAAGAAGAGAACATGTCGTGGCCTGATACAGATCTCATGCCTTTACTTGTCTGGAGATACTAAAGAAGACACGAAACACAGGATGACCAGTGTCCCGACTAAATTTCGAACCGATCCTCTCATGAACACAAGCCTACAGCGTTATTGCTAGGCCAGTCTGCAGGTGTCCATTAGCCTTGATGTTTATTTGTTACAGATATAAATCCATTGTTAACATCGGTACTCAACAGCAGGGATAAGAACTGAGCAGTCACAAGTTACTCTGCTGACAAGGCTGATCAGAGATAAAAATGTTATGCTTCATATAGATTAAACTCTTAACCTCGTATTCATAAGTATACGACATTTCGTGGAAAATAAATATTTAAAAAAGTAGATCTATAAATGAAACTTTGAAGACAAGCAGAAGTAGGCATACAGGTTCCTCGTCCGGGATATGGGTATCACACTAAGCAGTAGTCATACCTTACAGGAGAAATATATAGCTAAAATTGTGAGAATAAACTTTAGTCACATAATTAGAGAGGTATGGAAATGAGGGTTCGCATTTCATCCAGAAATGTTACGGCAGGTATCTGCCATATGCCAACAGTAGAAATAAACTTTACAGCATATTTGGTCTCTTGAATTAAATCTGATATTGAGACTGATACTAAAATTATAATGGAATTTTAATTTGTATTGTGGGCTACTGTCAGTAGCTAGACCATAACATCGAATAGCAGAATGGCAAATGAACGACAAATAGTAAAGGATTTGGAGACAGGTGGTCGTGGCCTACTTTAGATAGTACCCCGAAATTTTATGTGGGATGACTGAAGAATACCACGATATACCTTATAATGTTATTCTTATGCCAGCCCGTTCGGTAATTTTTGTTGATTCGTTGTAGGCAAATATAACTTCTACTTCATACAAAGATTTAATTAAAAAGTGTGGATTTCTTAATTGTCTGATCATAGGAAATAATGGTACTAGAAAGTATAGATCCCATTGAGATTTTAGACTTGCTTCAACATTTCTCTGTCGGTTGAAGGGAGATGGAGAAATACTCTGTTAATCGCCAGAATTCCCTCAATAAACTAACTCCGCACAGGCAATAGAAGTCTATTAGGTAAGCGGTAGGCCGGTAACAAAGAGCAGACTGGAAACTGTGTACACCAAATTGGAGCGATTCTTTGTCACTCTTTGCTAATAACAGAACTTATCACTGGGAAAGTCGGCATGGTTGACACCGACAATCTTTCCTAGGGGGCGAAGAGGCTGGTAGCCAGTTTTTGAAGGGGGAGTAACCAGAAAATTTGCTTATAAACTTATATCTAAACGATGGAAGACATTTCTGTTGAACGTTCTAGAATATTCGGAATAGAAAAAATTGTCTTCTTAAAGGTAATTTAAATTTTTGGTGTTAACTATGTGATGTATTCTTTTTCAATTTTTATTCTTTTCAATAATCGGGGGAGGAGGACGGATACCTGTTCCCCCCCACCCTCTACCAGCGTCAATGAGAACTCAG